CCTCTTGTGGTCTTTCACTGCAAGAGATCTTCTTGGAGATTTTCCCCACAGCTGATAGTCTGTGGCTCATCTCAGGCATGCCTGCTCCCCACTTTGGGAATGTTTCTTTTGAACTATTTTCTATTTTTAATCTCCACCTTAATTGTTTTTTGAAGGATCTCAAATAATTGGTTGTGCTTGTCACGACACTGGGAGCATTTAATATGCAGGCCTATGTGTTCCCTTTTCAGGCATACATCAGCCTATTGTCACAGCAAAAACCAGCTGTTTGTGAGATGCTGTAACAATTCTGCCAAGACTCAGTGACTAGCCTTGGAAAAAGCAAAGTCAAACAAAAGGAGTGTGAGCTGTGACAAGCAGTGTGTGAAGTGGTAATTCAGAAGGGCTGAAGGAGATCTAAAGAGTAATTAGCCAAATAAATAAAAACACAGGACAAATTATCTCAAGTGCATCACAACCTGGAATCAAGGAACAAGGAAGTACCTGAGGTCTGGAAAAGCATTGAAAGAGCTGAAAGGAGAGACAAGATGAAGGAAATCCTGAAGAAAGTAACTGAACCACTGTTTCATTCAGCAGAAGAAAGGGAAGGGAGCAAAGGGACCAGCTACCCGTTCAGGATACAACAACAGAGCAACAAAAAACAGCGAAGACCTCAGTGCTGTGCTTTTGGGACTATGGAAAATGCTCTTCTAATGAGGAGTTTTTCAGTTGCATTATGAAGCCAGATCAAATCTCTCCATTGCTTTGTTCTTTCACTTGGTTTGCTAATCTGCAGCAGTAGAACTGATGGCAGTTAAACAGGATGGAATTCATATTAGGCTTAGAAACTGTACTTGCTGCCTATGGTTTTCCTGCAGAACAGCTTTAAATTACAGCACACTTGTGTGAAGTTGCGGAGTTTTGTCTTCTAACCATCCCACCAGTCCAGAGCACATCACGGGAGCCACGCTGCCGTCATCTGACTGCCATATGCCTGGACCTGGGAACCTCCCTTCAGTGCACAGTCACCCTCATATCAACAAAAGCTTTTTCCTGGCTGAGGGTTTTCAGGAGCAGCTCCCCAGGCAAGCAGGACAGCCTGTCTGCAGCACTGGTTAACTAACATCCATCTTTTATGTATTCTTCATGTGTCTATCGCCCCAGGATTCCAACACACTAGCACCACATTTCATTCATCTGCAACAGATTGGAACGAACGTTCAGCTGAAGTTTTATTCACTTACCAGTGAATTTTCCCAAATTACCTTTTAGTTTTGTGGTTTTTTTTTTTTGGTTCCTTCAATAGCTATTGCCGGGGGTTTTCACACTATGATTCTGTCAGGAGATTTAGCTGCATATAAAAGCATCTCTAGCTCTGGTCCTTTGGACTACTCAGATTGAGGGGAAAACAGAGGTATATCCCTCCTTCAAGATTCAAATAATTTCCATTAAGATTACAGACTTGTGGTCTCCAAGGAGCAGGAAAAATCTAGATTTCAGATTGCTTTTGTAGTCTGTGTCCTTCCTTTAGGTGTGTCATGATGTAGCTCTGTTTTCACACAGACGGAATGCAGCTGAGAGCACATTTTATTATAACTCCAGATGATGCTCAAAGAGGATGAAAACCTCATTTTTCTCAGGTGGTCAGAGAACAAGTCCCAGTAAGCTGGCGTTCTTTTCTCTCTCATCTGAATTCCGAAGAGGAACTCGAACTGCTTATAAAGTCATTGCAAAGATGTTTTTAAAAAGAAACAACATTAAAAAAAAAGGGGGGGGGGGCAGGGAGAGAACAGTCCTGCACTTTTTCACCTTTCCAATTACTTTTCAACCTCTTAAGAGCAGTCGTTTAGGTCACAGTAGTTAAGCTGCTATAAAACAGCTGCTAAAGCATTCTTCTATTGTAAATTAAACAGCAATTTTACCAAACATTCCCATTGCATGGCTAGATTTGCATAAGCACAAAATCAGGAATTTAGAAAACACTTGGAGGGGAAAGGGCTAGGCCTAAAATAACAATCTGTGACTTTATGATAATTTGAACCAATGGCAAAAATTCTAACAGATTTTGCTGCTCATAGGTCATGTTTGATATAAAAAGATACATAAATATTGGGTGATGGTCCAAACCACAGCTCCACACCTCTGAGAAAACGCCAAGTTTCCACCCTTGCTGTTGGGACAGGACAATGTATCACAGACAGAACTACAGCTTCTGAAATGGCAGCTTCTTAAAACCCTGTCATCAAAACGGTTCATTGTCTCCACTTCAAACAAGGGAATTACCACAAGAAAATGACTTAAGGTCAGCTACAGATTGTTGACACTGGTAAACAGTAATAACACTTAGCGCTTGTAACAGTTTTCAACTTCAAAGCCCTAATGAACACCCCTGGGATATCCTGAAGAGGTGGAAGTCCTCCCTGTGACAGAGCCAGCCAGGTAAACCAGCCAGCCAGTTATTGGTGGATGGCTGCCAACAGGCATGGGACAGAGAAGGGGAAAGGAATCTATAAAGCCTCTCAGTCCTATGAATGTGTGCTGTACTCTGCATTTTCGAGGGCAGGGTGGGGTCTTAAACCATGCACTTAAGGACAGACTGAGTTCAGCTTCAGCTTTCTGGCTGTGACAGCCTACAAGCAGCACAGGCACAAGGTCTGCTGTCCTTGAACTCTGCCCAGCCTCCCATGGCCAAATTTCCCTGCCTCTGGTATGGTCCGAGCCCTTGTAGTCTTCACAGATAAACTGGCATGGGATTTGTTGTGGAGAAACCAAAAGCAAGAAAATTCCATATTGTTAAACTGCTTATAGAATTGTTGGAGTTATTCTCCTTTCTGTGCCCATAAAACAAAAATGCCTGTAGGAATCATGATCCGGCACATGAGCAGCACTGCCACTGTGTTACTGACTGATGCAACCACCTGGCCTCAAAGCAGGAGGCAGAGACAACAAGCCCCATGACCGAACTTGGAGATGGCCACAGCAAGGAGGTATTACTCATGGAAGGAGACAGAAAACTTGATGCTTCCTTACATACTCATTTCCTGAAGCAGGTAACATCTGCAACACCAGTATGTCACTGACGCTTCTAATCTCTCTTTCTATCTCATGCCCTGCAGAGCTGGGGCTTCAGTTTCCAATGTAGAGCATGAGCCATTCCCTAAAAGCTCTAGAAAGGTTTTCTTACCATTCCCTCCCCTCATTTGAAGAACTGTTGGGGAAGAAAAAAATGATTTTATCATTTCTGCTTTATTTCCAGCAAGAAGCAGCGCTGTTGAGCACAAGTGAGTACTGGTGATGCAGATCCAGTGCCTGATTCTCATGGCAATGGAAATCAGGTGGGTGCTGCTGACCTTAATGGAAATTAGTACCATAAAGCTGGCATTAGTGAGCAGAGGACCTGCCAATGACCTGCACTTCCAGCCACTAAAGATGCTTTATAGAGGCAAATCTTGTCAAAGCAAACACAGAAATCATTGCAATTACATTCTGGTTGACCATGCTTGCTAGTATGCACGTATGTGTATTCAGGGAGGGGTTACATAAAGATCAGAGCAGATTACAAACGGGAGCTGTTCTTTCCAAATTCTGTACATTGCTTGAGTGATAAAAAATTAACTGTGCCCAACTCAGCAAACTCCTGTCCCTCTTTGTTCGTATTCACTCTAGTATATCCATCATTTTTGATCCTCTACTGATTTCCATTGTTGGGGTTTATATTCTGTGACTTGAGAACCTGAAATTACGCTATATATCTTTGTAGCTCATTGAACTAACCAGCATTTATTTTAATTTAGTAAGGAAACATTTGGATGGGTGTGACCAAATAAATACTGTCTAAACCAACACAAATATACTTTGCACAAGGCTATAAACCTGTCTCAGAGCTCTAATGATATTGCAAGTCAATGAAGCTTCAGCATTCTCATTAACATGATTCCATCAGACCTCTATGTTGCATATTATTAATTTTTAACAATAGATTGTAATATAATTTATAGCACTGTGGGGCAACAAAGGCTGAATCTTGGTAGTAATCCAACCTTTTAGGTTGATAATGGCTTTAACACTGACCTAATATTGAAAGGTGAACACATACAGAGGCCATCAGACCTAATTATAAAAAGGACTATGGGGATAAAACACATCACTGATCTATACCAGTAAAGACAAAACTTTCCTTGAGAGCAAAGGGCACATATCTTGTCATAAGATTGAAAAGGGCTTTGTTGTTAATTTTGACACAAAATATAATCAAGAGCATGTTTTAAAGGCATTAAAACACCTTTTCCCTTCTCAAAATATAATTTTTCTTATAGCAGGATCTTTAACTCAAGTTGGAGGTAGGAACAAGTGTATTTTAACAAAGAAAAAGCAAGCCTTCAACATCTCTGTGGAAGTCTGTTAAGATGCACAATAATGAACACAACTGGCTTCCGCTACATAGAGTAGATCATGGCCCTCAGCAGTTTGCTGAGTACTCAGTGAGTCTCTTTAATGGACCTCTAGATGTGAGGGAACATGAAAAACTGCAATATGTGTTTAACCCAAGTAAGAGTAACTTATTGTGAAAGGCAGCACAATATCATTTTCTGGTTCAAAAGGCATTCTCACCACCAAAATGCGCTTTAGTATCGCTTATATGTATTTTCTAATTCAATCCTTTGTGCAGTATCTAGAAATACAGTACAGTGGTAGTAATGTAATTAGTATTTTCACTAGCTAAATTATAGAGCTGACTGCAGAATACAGCTTAGTAGCATCAATATTAACAGTTAAGTATTATACAAAAATGACATCAATAGTTTTAGTATAGTCATGAGAGACATTCTAATTTCCTCTTTCTCCAAGATCCCTTCAAATTGTGTCAGATGAGGAAACTCACAAAATCCACTGGTTTTTAGTTCAACTCAGATTCTAAAAATCAGCATCTCAAAGATTTCTTAGGTATATTTTTGTAGGTTCTTGAACAATATTCCTTTCTAAATATGGTATTAGTTATAAAGAACTTTAGTTCTGCTGCATTGACCTCTCGTATGAATTTAATTTTCCCAGCACTTCTGCAAGTTAACAAAGGACTATAACAGATACTTCACATCTGAAGATGATGATACGTAGGGATCTGTAATAATTATCCAAGCCCACAAAAGCAGTCCTATGTCAGCACAAGAAGTGAAACCACTGGCTTTGCAATCTAGTGCTACTCCATATTTCCCTTCTCCCCATGTCACACAGGAAGATCTAAAACTCTAACCACCAAGATACTAGACACCAAACAGCTCTTAAGGAAGATGCTGAGGCAAGAATGCTTTCACAGGCTCCTCACCTGAAGAGACAACAGTCACCCATCCTTACATGCCCAGAAATCAGAAGACTATGATTTACACCAGAATCTGAAGGCTATCCCATGGTATCCTCCTAAAACTCCCTTTTGGCCAAGCTAATTCACAAGCCCCTAGATGAAATCAAGAACACTGAGGATCTACCCACACTCCATCCACTTCCCAATTACAGTAACTTTATGCTTTACTTCACAAAATGAGATTCATTTCTTCCTTCACCAGCTCCATTCAGCTCCTTCAACATTTTGTTCATGTGTTTGTCAAGATGCAGATCTCCAGCAGATTGATCACTTCAGATGAGACAAAGCAATCCCTTGGTAAATCCCTCTGGAAATGCAGAACATATTATATGCACAAAAGTCGAACTCCTTGAATTTCCCCTTTTCAGATCCTCTTGATTTCCAGTCATTCAGATAAAGAATGGAGCTTTTGTAGGCCAGTTAATCCATCCACTGAATGAAATATGGTAAAGTTTTACACATCCACATGTTCTTTCAAGCCGTGGTTTACATCCGTAGATGTAATAATAGCTGCAGTAATGTAGACAAAAATCATGGCTCAGGCACCCCCAGCAGATCTTTAAAGACTTGGGCTGAAAACTCCCAAAGTCAAAGGAACTGGCAAAATGATTTAAGGGCTGTCTCTGCTTACATTTATTTCAGCCAAAGCACTGGCTTAATTTTCTTTGTGTGTCTTAATAAGCCACCTCTGTGAGAGTGTCCTGGGTTCAGCAGTAGCAGCCAATGCAAGTTGTATTTGTTACCGGCTGGGCTTAAACCACGACAGACAGGGACTCTTACTCAAAACGCTTGTACATCAGAAGCTCAGAGGTAGGCACTATTGAGTGGTGGTAAGCTGAGACAAACATCCAAAGATGGTGTCAGGCTCAAGCTGCAAAATGAGCCTGTTCTTCATCTTCTCTAGCATCACAGTTACAAACCAGCATGAAAACAGCATTTACACAAAGAATTAAAATGCAAATCTGCATTTTATTCTATGAAATTGAGACAAACGATACAGACTTGAAACCTGACAGAGTAGCAATTACAAACATTAATATAGCTTTAGATTATGACCTAAGCCAAAAGAGAGGATGGAATAGAAACGCTGTATATTAGACCTTGTGAAGCACTACAGGGGAAAAAAAAAAAAAAGCAGCTCTTGCCCTAGTAATGTATGCCTAAAATACAAGCTAGCAGTAATTCTCCTGTAAAGTGCTAGATCTGCCTTGTGCAGATGTGTACCTTCAGGGAAGCCTCCAGCCATAAATGTGTACATACAACACAAGGAAGGAGCCTGCCAGCAAAGGAGAGCTGAGGGGAGTCTCAAAATATGTGGGAGGGGACTTTGGGCTGCCCCAGCCTAATAGGATGTGACACCATCCAGGAGAGTCCTGCAACAAGAGGCCAAACAGCCAATGGCCTAGGACAGAACTGCCTAGCCGGCGTAAAGATATATTTATGCTAGGTCTGATTTAGACTGTGCTCTGCACAATCAGATCGCTTTGAAGGTTTGCCTTGTGCAATCATTCCCTTTGTCAGGAATCAGAAAAAGACTGTGAAAAGACTGTGAACAAATTGTTTAGGCATTGAAATTTAACCCTGTGGAATCCTTACAGTGTAGCACAGTGTGACACAGCAGGAACACATTTGTCAGGGGACTGAAGCCTCTTTGCTCTCTCCGCACAAAACATATACATTAGCATTGTGTGGTGTGGGTGTGCTCCCAAGCACATGATGCAGCTATGGGTATGCAGCTCCATGCCTACCCTGCCTCCCATCTGCACTGCAACTGCATTCAGCCCTATGCACTATTTCTGTTCCATTAGGGAAAATAAAGGCTTCAGATCCTTCAAGACTGTCTGGAAGCCCTTCCGTTACATTTTCTTTCAGAGATTATTCAAGATTTGACTTTTAAATAACCATAATGCATGTAAGAAAATTACTGAGTATTACAACAATCTTTTTAATAGACTTACTGGTTTTTCCACTAGTGTCCTAACATTAATAATGTCAGAATATAAACACCAAAAATGAAAAGGCATTTGGTAGAAGTTAGTTCCAAGACTTTTTACTCTGATGTGGTCTAAGGAAACGACCCAGCTGGTGTGGTTTCTATACCCACACTCATGACACCAACAGCTTCCATCTCAGTTAGGCCCCATTCAGCAAGGTACTGTACATACCCTGCTCCTCCTGAAGAACAGTCTGAGAGCACCAAATACCTCACAGTGAGAGCTCAACCCTCTGTAGAATTAAACCTTAACACAAGATAGCCCATCAGTGGTTTTGTGAACTGCTGAAAAATATGCTGACAAGAATAAAAGAAAATAGTCGTTTGGAATTTGGCAGAGAAAAGCCACTCTAAATCATTTCCAACTGCAGTAAGTCTTTGCTCCTGTTTTACGAGTAATAGAAGGGACTATCCCTGTTTTATAAACTCATTCAGTTAATATGTTTAAGAAAGGAGACAAGTTTCTCTCCTGCAGGGGTTTTCAAATACTGCCTTTCCTTGCGGCTGCCAGTATTCCAACATCCCGTTCCAGAAACACTGCTTATTACTCTTTGGGAAAGAAAAGGAAAAAAAAAATAAAAAAAAATGATACAACAAACTTCATATGAAGAAAAGAAAAAAGGTTAGAAAAACAAAAAATGGTAAATGACAATTACATATTAGGGAATACTAAAAAGTTGTATGCTGCTCCTTGCTGCTGCAGTACACTGGAGGAGGAAGCTGAATTTAAAAGTCTTTTCACTCTACATAAAAAGCAAAAACACAGTTCCAGGATGTTCTACAGACAGGCAAGAGCTCATACATTCAATAACCTCCACATCAATGTGATCTGCAACTTCAAGACTGAATTCCAAGCGTTTCTCAACTCAATTTTGCAGTAATTTCAGCTCTTGAAGTACTGAGCAGCCTTAGTCCCACCACTCAGATGAGTGGGACTCAAGTACCCTCAGGTTTCCTCTGAATGTGCTCAGAACTTTTCTAACAGTGTTCCTGCAGCCAAGCAATTCTCCTATCATCTGAGCTGCACAAATTTGCTGCTAACCCAAATGAAGCCGAACCTCCCAAGGTCCTTCTCTTTGTGCCTGTCATATTCTAAGTTCACTCTGTCCCTTACAAGAGGAACAACAATGCACACACCAGTGTAGTGCTCCTTCCCTCCATAATGAATCCTGCCTTAACTGGGAGGACTTTTGCAGAACATACATTACCCACCATGCCAGGACCCCCACACTATAATATACAGAATTTAACCCTTTTATCATCATCATCATCTCTAATTATTTCTTCATTTAGCAGCTACTAACATGTTTGGAAATGCAAAATCACATCACTTTACTTTCCGAAAGGTAGTAGAACAGACTTCATAATTAGAGAAAGCACAGGGGCCACCTATTTCCCCCCTCATGAAGCTTGGGAAGCTCCAAACAATATGGAAAGGTGAAAGGGGAAAATGGTTACAGTACTGAGAAGGCTAAAATTTGAATGAGGTAATAACAAACCTTTCTTGTGGAAGGAAAAGGAAATGACTGATTCTAAAAAAGCTTCTGTGATAAATCACCATCCCTGCATGAAATTCCATTCATATATGCTGCGATATCTGGTAGCAATGTTAGAGGAAAACAAAAAGGAACAAAAACTTAGCAACAAACATGTTTATAGAGAACAAAATATAGCTTGCTGGAGTTGCTGAGCTCTTTCAGTAGTTCAAACAGGAGCAGGATGTTACAGAATCAAACAAGAGTTTGAGCAGTTTCAACAGCTGTATTTGTATTAGTCATAAAGGCACAGATGTGAAATACAGCTCTAATAAAAAAATTGAAGTTTATAAAACTGGATGGTAGTTTTCCACCCTTTCCAGAAGTATCTCAGAATATCCAGGGGAGTAATACCTGAAAGAGAAGCATTTTGTTTGTGCGTTAGACTACAAGGCATGTTCTATGCTAAGTAACAAAACACTATTCATATTTCTATTGATCAGGAAAAAATCCTAAACATTAAACACTAGTCAAGGAATTCTACAGTTATTCCCCTCTAATGTTTTAAGAGTCTGCTTTTCAACTTATGTTATCATTTATACTTGGAAGTCAGGTTTTCAAAAATATGTTTAACCTCTTTTAGGGCACATAGGTGGTTGGTCCTGGTAGTTGGCTAGCTTTTAGATAGGTTCAGCAGCCATAAGCATTGTCTTTACTGAGAAATGTAGATGTTAACTTCTTTTGAAATTATGGCCTTTAATAAAAAAGCATGAGTTTACACAGAACCGAAGGCTGCCAGACAACAATAGTCTACTGCTGTTCATCAAGCATAAGCACACACCCAAAAGCTAATGTGAAGTCTCCATCAGTGCAAGAGACATTGATTCTGGAACAAAAAAAAATTATCACAATGACCTTCTCTCCCTAATGCCAACTCAAGGACGGAGATTATCGTACAGGTTTTCATTAGAGTAGGGACTCTATGGTGCCATTATTGTCCTGCTGTCATTCAGTTAGTTTTCCACAATGGACCAACCACATGCTTCCAATATGCAAGCATCACCAAAGATGCATTTAGTTCTTGTTTTCCAAGTTAAGAGTATCTAAAATTTATTGCTGTGTTATTCTAAAAAACATACATCTCAGTACATTTCTGGTTTTGTAGGCATGTAAACTGTTAGCTCTGAGCCCCCCATGTAATCCATGTCTAAATTGTATTAAAGTAGAAATCCCCAATATTTCCACACTGAAGGAAGATCCACTTACCTTGCTGGTTTTCATTTTTTGAATTATTTCTGCACAGTGTGACTCTTTTTAAAAATCATATTAATTGGCTGATTGTAAAGCTAACTTTTCAATATGCTATTATATTCAGTCTGCAAACAGCCTAAAATAACAGGACAAACACTCCAGGACAAACCCAGAGCTGGAGTCTATTATAGCAGCTGTGCCTCAGGCAGCACAACCAACATCAGGCAGTAGCAAAAAAAGGCAAGCAGGAGATGCTCGAAGGGGCCCTTTTCTTTATTACATCCCAGCCTACATAAGTAACCTTGTTTCATTTGGGGGGGTGGGGGGGGTGGGGGGGATAGCTGTAACAAAGAAACATTAATTATATCCAGAAAAGCCTAAGCAAATGCCCCTTTTCCCCCCTCTTAAGTATTAGCTGCAGAACAAAGTTTCCTTATGATTTTTAGTCATTTGATAACCACTGGCTTTTCCTTGTGGAGACAAACACGGCTTCATTTTGCATGAGTTAGTTTGTAGCTACTATTAGCTGAAGAACTCTGTTGGGGTAATTAAAATTGATGATGCAGATTTTCAGAGCCTGTAGAGGCAGTGCACAAGTACAACATCCTTTTGATGTGTTGATGGAGTGAAGGACTGGTAAATGGATATCTAGAATCTAGGAGGGCATTTCTCTCATTATTACAATTTAGGATGGTGACATTTTGACTGTAAGCTATTTAATAGTGTTTCTGTATTCATTAAGGGCAAAGTTCAACTTGGTGCAGACAGCTGGTGTATGGTCCTTTTATATAACACTTAAGCCTCATGATGAGGCTGGGGGAGGAAGGGCAGCTGTGGGCAGAGCAACTGTGCAGGAGAGCCTCTGGACCCTCTGTACATCAGAGGAAGTTTCAAAGGAGCCTCTGAATACACTAGTTCAGACAGGCTCTTAGGAAAGTCAAGGATGCAACCAAAGGTTCGCCAATACTGGTATTTTAGAGCCTGAGTAATCCATAAATAAGTTACCAAGATAAACTGAACTTCCCACAGACATTTGTCAATATGAGAGCAGTTGTGCTGAAGCCTCAGAGTCTGTCTGCGCAGGGCAGGACTGATTTTTCTTCTCAGTTTCCTGCAAGAGCCTTTGGGCTTTTTTTGTTGTTGTTGGGTTGGGGGGGGGGAGGGGAGGTTGGTGGGGGTTTGTTTTTTACAGACAAAGAAATTTGATTCCAAATATAATCAGGAAACAGAGAGTGTTCAAAAGTATGTGTCTGGTACACTAGGGCAGTTAACCAAATGTTAACCTGTTTTTTATAGAAACAAAATTAATATAGAAGTTTAATTTATCTATCAAATCCTTCCTTTGTGTTGTTCCTGTGAAAAATATCTAGCAGTGTTATAAGTACGAATTTTTTAAATTTCATTTTCCCTACCTTACTATTTCCTCTGGATAGCAATTGTTAATAGTGTTGATATATTCCTGAAGAAGTGACCCAGGTTCTGCTTTTATTTCTTGAACCTTTTTAAGTCCACCAGTTGTTACAAAGAGACGACGTGCTTTACTGTCATGTGGTAACACCTACACACAGAAAAGTGCATTAAAAAAAAAGAGAATATGTTCTTTTAAAGGAATATCTATGCTACTAGGGTCAAATATTGCTTATCTGTTTTTAATTCAGAGGACATATAAAATGGAACATCAGAGGTACAACATGTGTAATGACTACTGTATTTTAATACCCAGTTGCACAGGAAAAAAAAAAATCATAAACCACCCCTTTATAGTTACAACACAATATAACATGTACTGTAATACATAACATATATAAAAATAATGAATTGAGTATTTATCTTCATGTAAATTATATTTTTTGAAGTATTCCTACAGAGACCGTAAGATTGTGGAGATTAAGTAGATAATAAAACCAGAACACTAACATGGAATAACAACAGCATCTGTTCCACTTAAACCAAGTTATTCAGGTCTTTTATGTCAATTCCCACAGTTTAATTGTATACCAGAATTTTATACCATTATAATGATCTAGTATAGATTAGTGCACGAAAACAATACTGAGAATCGTTGCAAGTGAACAATGCAGCCTTGAAGCATTACATGCTGCTATTAAATTCCTAGATATTAAAATCCTACAACACACTGTGTAGCCATGGAAGCCTTTTACAAATACACACACACACAAAGCAGAAATGTTAAGTTTCTGCAGCCAAAGGGGATGAGAAGCAGAAAGGATCAGACAATACATTCTGCGCTCCGAGTGATGCCAATATACAGCTCTGTCCAGAGGACAGGAGAGGAGGGAGGGAAGGAGGTGGGGGCTGGGCCAGGCAAGGGAGAATGACAGCATGTAGTCCACAGGCCCACAGGACTGCAAAAATACTTTTTAAAAAGGGAAAAAAAACAACCCAGAGAGATAATGCAAGACGTCAGCTGCATCTACAACAAAACCAGATGGGTTTAAAAACAACTCCGAGAGTTATATACTATGGGGACAAAAGCACTTTGTAAGCCTTCACACTGGTCAGACAAATCAAGCTATAAATTTAATAGTATCTCAGTGTAAAAGAAGAGATTTGAAGGAGGAAAAAGATCATAAAAAGATGAAGGAAAAGAAAGATGAGATTTCTGCCATACATATAGGCAAACAGCCTTCATTTCTCTGATCCCTGTAAGCAGACAGACAAGCAAAGAAATCAACAGGTAAAGAAATCAACAGACAGGTAAAGAAAAATCAAGGCAACACAGAGACTTCTTATTATACGCTCTGTATAAGCGTCATGAACAACTGTGATCATTTCCTTGTAGGAACTGAAGACAGCTGTTTTCACCTATCTCCCACAACAAGAACTGCCAAGGAGGAACTAGCAAGACAACAGGATATGGCCCTTTCCCTGCCTTCCTCCTCCACACTGTGACTCCCAGGCTGGGTAAGACAGCAGAAAACTCTTTTGGAAGAGGCCCTAAAGCAGACAGCACCTCTGAGACAGTCCCTCCCCTCTGCCCAACCTGAGAGCACAGAATTGCACAGACCCTGAAAATGATAATGCTTAAATGACACAGTCCAGCACAAGAATGGAGAGCATCCCACTCTGAAGCACAGGTCAGAAATAAGGCTTTTACCGTGATATAAAATAAGTAAGCCCAAATAAGTAATATACCACAGCTCTAAGAATAGGAAATTTCCAAACTATGGTAGACGAGAGAAAAATGCTTTTACTGCAGAGAAATTAATTTTAAATGTATACTTCAGAAAAATAAATGCCAGACAAGTATAGTTTGTTTAATGCAGCATAGGAGAATAAAAAAAAACCAAAACAAAGCATCAGCTAATATGAAGGCTATAAAACTACTTCAACAGCAAACAACATTCAAATATAATTTGACCAATTACTATGCACTCAGCTCTTTAATAGCTCCAGTCAGCACACAGAAGCAAAAGGCACTGAATTCTGTGCAAATCTCCAGTCTTTGTATGGATTTAGCAAGATGACAGAACAAACTTAAGTGTGGCGATGTAATCAGGAATCTGCACTCCAAACAGTAATGCTTCCAGATCTGTGACAATCAGAGCTAAGTACAAAGAGTGTTTTACTTGGCCATTTCCAGAAAGACCATTTCACCAAGAGAGCCCGGTATCTCCTACTAACAGATTACACTGCAGAGTGTTGTACAAGAGACAGACTATAGATGAGCAGGATTCTCAACAGCTGGTGAACACTGCAGACACAGGGAATCTCCTAACTAGTTAGCAGTTATTTAAATAATTTGAAATATATTTATCAAATTGTATTACTTTTTACATGCTGTGCTCAAATATTGTTTGAGCAGTATGTTATTAACACCAAACAGTTTCAAATTTTGAGAGGAATAAGAGAGATTTGGAATTTTTACACTTACTTAATTGAAACTGAAAATTAACAAGGATAAAAGTAGTGAAGCCTTTATACTCTAGATTAGTGTAAAATACCTAACTTAAGTCATTCCTGTACAGACAGCTTGTACTTTATCGAAAACAGATGTGACTGGGATTTATGTGATACATTGGCTCAGTGAAAATATTTGTACGTGAGTTAATATTCCACTTAATCTCAAGAGGCAAGGAAGAAAAAAAAACCAAACACTTTGCTTGTAAGCAACTGTTTTCCCAGTCTTAGGATACATTATGGCAGGTTCCAGATGAAACAGTATCCAGCTTTGCCAGACAAAAGAATGGGACGCTGCAAACTGCTGCTGCAGGGTATGCTTGAGGATCCTGAGAAAACAACTGAGACCTTTAGAGAGTCTTCATCTTTGGAAAAATAGCTTCCTTGCTAAACAGAAAACAATTAACATATTACTCATCAAGCAGAGCCTTTTCTTACCTTACTAAACTGTCCAACAATATGTTTTATAATATTGGGAGGAGCATCATGCAGCAATTGTTCAAGTGCTGGAAGATATGTGCATTTCTGAAGGATGTTCTTTAAGGCTCTTTTAGTCTATTGAAATGCAAAATAAATTTCCTCTAGTAAGACATGAATGAAAACAACAATAATTCCTGAAGTCTGATCCAAAAAAAAAAAAGCAAATTGATCAGAATTTTCAAAAAGCATTTTCTGAATAGACACTATGATACCTACCTGGTCACTTACTGAAGAATCAATTTTTTACTTAGGTTTATTAAACCTCAAAACCTACAGTACATCATATTCTTATTATGTTATCTACGGTCAAAGTAATGGCAATTTTTCTTTGACTACAATGGAAGCAGGAGCAGACCCTTTAAGTAATTGAAGTGTGGTAATATAATAAGGAAGCTAAATCAAAACACATTTTAAAAGATTGTGTCTTAGAAGTGGCTTACTAGGAGAGTCTGCCGGCCTGGGATAGCAATGTGGACTGCTGTCCAGGTGGGAGAGAAAAAGAGAGTGAAACAGTTGTACCTTAGGGCTTAGTTTCTGAAAACAGACTCAATGTTGACTGCTACAAGCATAACGACCTTTTTGAGTAGGCTTAGATCGTACAGCTCATTTGGCCTTGATATTCTGGTGACCACTGAAAATGACTATACAAAAGTTATGTAACAGATCTGGAAAGTTATACTTCAATGGAATGTACAGAATAGTACAACATGGGAGACCATATCCTGTCATATTATGTTCTTTAATCCTGTCACATACTCTTCAGTTAGTTCACTTTCTGTTGCTCAAAAAAACACACTTTACCGAACTGCAACTCTACTAGCTCCCACAGAAGGAAGGCCCTAAGCATCAACAACTGCATGCTTTCAAGAGCAGAACTTTGAGTGTTTGCTACAGTTTCATTATAATAATCAAAACATAAGCAAGTCTACTACAAGGACTATAATATTTTGTACAAGAGCTTATACTTCTAAAAAAAAGTAGATACTTAGAAACTAGTCACAAGAAATTACATCATTTATGGGCGGATGCAGCTCTGATCTAAACTGGGAAGAAAATGAGGGACTAGACTGCTGTGGCTGTACCACATGATTTGATATGCACTATATGCATGGAGCCATTAGGACCAACCAGTCCTAATAAATAACATACAGCCTTTGGACACCTACATCCAGCAAATCCATGACTCGATGAACATCAATAAAAGCACATACAATTTAGTAGTTTTTAAGCACATCTACCTGTTGATTACAGTAAATATCTCACTGCAGATGTTACAAATATACTTGCTTTTATTTGAAGATCTTCTGAACTGCGTGTGTCCATATATATAGAAAGCAGTATGGGTAGCACATTTGCTACTGCAACAGCACATGCATGCTCAGGAGTATGTCTTCCAATCTGTCCCAAGGCCCAGGCAGCTGCTGCCTTAATATGATCTTCTTGTTCTTCTATCAAGCAGGCACACAGTGGTGGTATTCCCTGCAGCATCAATCAAAAGCACAACCTTTACAAAGCCACACCAGGGAGGGACAACTTGAAACTGATAGAGACTGTTAGAAAATGTTTTTCTGCTTACATTCTTCTTCTAAAATAAACTATAAGTGAATGGATGCTAGTGGTGTCATATATTTTATAACATCATGTCTAGCAAGAATTTTTAATAAATCTTAATAAATCTAGTTAAAGAGAGAAACAGCTTCAACGTTCTAAGTCAGAAGGCAGTTTGAGCTAATACACAAATTTAAGGGATAAAAGGAACATATGACACAATTCAGTCTGTACTAAAAGTAAAGGCTTCAGTGTTGTCAGACTGAAATTAAAAGAATTTGAGTGTTTATGAATCTGTGAAAGCAATTTAAGATCAGAAGGGCTCAATCATCGAGTCTTTTTTAATTTTTAATCCACAGCACTATATTTCAGTTTATCAATCTCTTCTTGAATCCAGTAGTTCGTGTTTGACTCATCCAATCACTTCCAAAAAGGTTTCAATTATTGCTTTGAACACAATAAGAGATGGCGAATCTCTCACTCACATCCAGCTGTTACTGAAGTCCTTCTGATTTAGGGTCACAGTCTTTATCCTTTCTCCAAAGGATTTTGGAGCTGCTGCTATTTTATGCCAGAATACTTCAGTAAGAATCATTTAATGCTACTTTAGGTAAGGCGAGGCTACTAAACCTCTAACTCGAAAATCTTTTTCTCCACCCCATGGTTCATTTTTTAGTCTTTTCGGCACACTCTTCAGGTTTTTTTTTTTCAAGAGCCTTTTAAAACACAGTCATCAGAACTATATGTACTGGTATTACAGACAGATTAACTTCTCTTTCCATTAATACTCTATCTTCTGTTCTTTAACGCCACACAGGACTAACTGTCATCCTTTCAGGTTTTTGCCACTGCACTGCAGGAGAAGACCACAATGAAGTGTTTGTCCAGTATGACCCCAAAATTAATTTTTCAAAATTCATCCTTTGCAGAACACAGTACCACAGAATGGAGCTACCACTTTACATCATAACATTGTAGATATGCAACTGCATGTATGTTTGCCACAGTGCATTTCTTTCAAATGGTTCCAGTTTATCATGTTCTGCCCTCAGCACCACGTACCACTCTACAAGCTTAGTTTCCCCTGAGGCAATTTTTATGGTTTTTTTTTTACTGGGCTTTGGGTTTATTTCAGTTTCTTTTGTGGCTCATTCATTAAAATATTTAACTTCATGACAGTGGGCACAAATCTCTACAAAACCTCTTACTGCACTCCTATTCAATTATGGCAGCAAACATTATTACTCTTCAAAAATTTGTCACTTAGGTTCTTCCTCATTAACTTAACCCTGGATTCAACCCACTTAACATTAAGCCCTCAACAGCAGGAGTATATTTGCTGTAGGCACCCCTGAAAGTGAACAGCCAGAAACATTCAGAGAAGAAAAGCCTCCAGAGAGGACAAGGAAAAAAAGTCTATTTCTTCAGTTTTCAAATGCAGAAGAGCATTGTTTGATCATTCCTACCTTCCCTGCATCCTTATTGATGTTATGTTGTGGCAATTTCCATTTTAAACTTGCATTCCTACTAGAAGACATTTCTGTTTCTCCATTTTTATTGTTTCATTGTTTCCACTCACACAGTATATTTTAAAATGACTGACATGGTGTAAAAATGGGCCAACAATGCTCAGTGAAATTACCTCCTCCTGTCATTAGTTAGCATTATTCACATACAAGTATTATGTCAGGCACTAATTTCACCAATTGAGAATATTGGAAATTCCCTCCCTTCTATATCACTGCCCATTTATTAAAACCTGAAAATGTATAGCTTATGTCATTTGAAATGCCACTTGCACAACCGAATCAAACCATACTACATTAGAAACTGAGGTCTTTTCAAGTCTTAAGATTTCTATAGCAAGACTATTCTAGTGGTACTAGCAGAGTCATGCTAGTGCAATGAGGAACGTGTCATTAAACATTCTTGCTTCAAAAAGGGTTTTGATGTAGCCACAAACATTCATTTTAAGAGGAAACAGACCATAGAAATTCACTGGCTTATTTTCTGTACCCATGCAATTGCAACACAGAAAATCATGTACTGTAATACAAACGGGTGCTCATAAACTAATCCAAGACATTTTATAAAAGGTTCAACTTCATAAAGACACATTTTGATCAGGTTGCTATACAATTTCAGACATTGCAAGCAGCAATATTAGGAAAAAGTGCATTCATCAACAGCGAGTATATAATTCTGTCACAAAATACATTCTCTGCCTATGTTAATTTGTATCTCTTTCTCAGAATACCATTGAAGAATTATAGGAAGACAACAAAGTGATAGCTAACCTTGGAGACAATCACTGCCATTGACAGGTTCTCCGAATGAGCTGCTACATAACCAAGCATCATGATGCCAGGCAGCCTGACAGTCCCTCTGCTGCTGCCAATACAATCAATCACAGCGGCAACTCCACCTGCATTTACTATAAGCTGTGAAAGCTGAAAAGATAAATGGAAGAGATTAGATACTGTGAAGTATCAACAGGCATAACAAACTACATTAGAGAAGTCTTTAAATGTATTGCTCCTGATTTACAAAACAAAGCTGGAGTAAGAGTGATGTATCATACAGACTGTTGGGCACTAAGTGCAGCATGAAATTCTCAGGAATGAGGTTGCTCTGCAGCTCTATTTTTGATTGACTTTACTGCAAGGTAATCAAGACTCTGAATTCTTGATGCCGTATAGCATGGAATGACATATTCTCAACTCCATTAGTACACACCAAAGAAACATGCAAATGACAGCCTAATATATGAATCCCTTGAAAATGCTCCTACTGAGCCAGATACTCCTTCATACCAGTATCTACTTATTCCCAAGCCAACATCATACTGTGCAGGACAGGGGAAAAGGCTCACTTCTTTCACCTTCATTGTAGATAACCTCTGTGTCATAAAAGCCTTTCTGGATTCCCCCACTGAGGCATGAAGCCAAAGACAACTGTCATGTACACACAAAAACAACTTGGGCTACACCATTCTGCCACATTATGGTACTCTGAGGCAAGTGTCCAGGGAACACACTCGATGGGCAATGGAGTTTGCCCCAGAATGTTAATTAAACGGCTTAGCTCATATATGATAATCAAGTTATACAACATGTTTCTTTCCAAAAGTTATCATTTTTCATATCCCTAGAGGGACAGCAGTAGAATATGTATATCAACAATGCACAGGAATTTAAAAATTCATATTATGATTATTTTCTTCTGTCTTGTTAGGTATATCCCATTTTTCCCAAAGATTCCAAAGCAAAACAAATACATTCTTTAAAGTCAAAATTAAATTAACAAAACTGAGGCATGTGGATTCCCAATCCAGTTTATTTCTACGGACATAAAATACACCTTTGCCTTAGACCTTTTAAAAGGGGACTGTTTTATTCATGAGACAGCTAGACAAATTTAAAGTTACAACTTAAGAAAAACTGTTCACATGATTGTGAACTGCAACCAGTGACGACCAAGTCCTACATCTGGGTGCAGCCGTGTGTGCTGGGATGCACAGAGCTCCTCACAGACATACTCCCTGGTGTTGTGACCCTCAGGCCCCGCTGCAGGCCCCCCACATCCTGACACTTCACATGAATTTTAGTGCATATAAAGACAACTGAGATCCAAAAGCCACAACATTCACGACTGACACGGCCAGCTCCTCTAGAAATATAATTTGCCAATTTGTGTCTGCTGCAACACGTGTTGCTTGAATATCATTGCTCAGAGATGGACAGACATCATGGTCCTCTGAAGTCAAATGTGGACTGTGACTTCCCATCGGGAGTAACCAAGATACTTCCTACAGCTCTTTTGAATTGCAGCTAGAATGGCCAACTCCCTTGCACAGAGAATCCTGTGCTAGCAGCTCTTCTGACTTTACCTGCAGTCTTGTAAATTTGGCCTCCAGCTTCCAACTCCAGTGCCCTCCTTTAATAATGACAGTGTCTTCACTTTCTTGAGAAAGTGAAGTTGCATTGCTCATATGTACAGAGAGAGAGCAGGAAATGTGACAAGACTGCAACCTTTAATCACCAGCAGCTTAAAAACTAGCAGGCTGAAGAAACACCACAAAATTCATGCTTAAGCACTTCCCAATTGTTAAGCTAGTCTCATGATTTTGAAATGACAGCGCTCAGCATTAGTGTGTTCCACAAATATATCACAAGTATTTTATCCCAGTCATATTTAGAGCCTTTTAATTATCTCTATGGTCTGACAGATTAACATAGTTATAACTATTTGGTTTTCCTCTTTATTTTGTATTGACTTTGCCAAAAATCCCCACCTTCCTTTATCAATTACTGGCAAAAACACTGCAAATGCTGAGATCCAAATTACAAACTCAAGCTAATAAAAGAAACTACCATCAGTTTAATAATAAATAACAGATAATAACATGACCTTCATTGTCATTGGAAAAATAATTAAAATGGGATCCCAGCATCCCAGAAGATTTTTTTAAAAAGACATACAGCATCTATTACTGTTCTAGGATGATCTTGTTATTTATTAGCTGATATCATGACTTTTGTAAGGCTTTTCTCATGATATTTTTAATATCCAGGACTGACAATACTCCCAGGCTAGAACTCCCTCTCTGTGAACATATCTTATGGAATGAAGTAGCTAGATATACATTATATGATTCCCGGTTTCCTAACCCAATTCATATTCAATACACATCTCATAATATCAGCAAGCATTTCCATATTGTTCCAGTGAACATGCCAAACAGCTATTTGCCCTCCCTTTCGAAAAGCAAATGACAAAATAATCCTGTGTTTTATTTAAAGTGTAAAATCTAATGATATGACCTTGTATTTGCATTTTCAAGGTTTTACCTCAGGCGTGTGCTTTACTATCTCTCTAATTAAAGTTGCACCATTTTTCTTGACATATTCATCTGAGTCCTTCAGGCATGTGAGCACAACTGGGAAAATTTCTGCTTCAACCACCAACTCTGCAAGTTCCACTGAATGCTTTGCTATTTGGCTTAGAGCTGACAGCACCTGACGCTAGTAAATAAAAATTGTTATAAAATCAATAGTATACAAACATCCCACAACACACACTCCTCCCGCACACAAAAATCTATTGCATCAAGGGAAACAAAGCAGGATAGGGAAAACAATTACAGCTATTTTACAATTCACTGAGTCAATTCATGAACAAATATAATGGCACAGAACATTCACTGGTTCCTGAATAAAAGTTTCTCCTTTGTTTTACCCCATTCAAGCTTGCTATGTATTAAAAAAGAAAAAGAAAAAGAAGAAATATATATATACCATTTACAACTGTAATTTAAAATTTACTGAAATCTAAGAAGATATCTTTATTTGCATAAGTTTGATCTGTCAAATCTTAAAGAATTTTTGTCTATTTGTTCAAAGTGGCATTTTTATGTTGTCTTCTTTCTGTTAGAGTAAGACAAAAAGATTTTATTAAGAAACAATTTTTTGTCAAACTCTACTGATTAAACCTTCAACAGGAGCTATTCACATCAGATAGTACATTCTAAAATACAATAATACATTTAATATTAACTGGTTTATAATATAACCCCAAGTATGCAAAACCTTTTTGTAACAGAATTGCATGCGCTTTATCTATTAAAAATATCTGTTGCATTCTTCATATACTACATAATTCTAGAACAAAATATCATACTGTTTACTTTAAAGATTAGTTTAGCTGGTCCTCACAGAGCAGCAGTTTTTTTAATCCAGTAGCTAAATCTGTGATTATATTCAGAAACCTTTGTCACTAATTACATAGTTATACTTTGTTAATGCCCAAAACAAGAGCTTCCTAAATAAAAATGCACATCAGTGGTTTTGATTCAGTATCAAGTAATGACTGGTATAATGGAGATTTTAAAATATAATTTTTAAAAAGGTACCTTCAGTTTAGCATCAGGGTTCAGGATCAGCTGAGCTAAGTGAGCGATAGCTCCTGCATCCACTACTGTCTGTGCTAACTCTGGAGAATGCTTTGAAATATCACTGAGAGTTGAAGCAGCAATCCTTTTCAAAGCAATTTCTGGCTCCTGGATACAGAGCACTAAAAGAGGAATAGCGCCTGCATCCACCACAGCTTGCGACAGTTCTGTAGGTCCAAGGAAAGTAATTAAGTGAGTATGGGTGACTGACCCTTGTGCAAGCCATTTTTCACCCTGACAGATACAGCAAAGGAAAAAGGGGAGGGTGTAGTTCACTGTCTCGACATCTGCATTTCAAATCAGCCCTCCTGGTTTCATAAACCGTGTGGACCAATCCACAACTGAAAAGAATGCAGGTCAATAGATGGACCTCCATTTACATGCACACATTTGAGGTAGATTAGGCTGAAATGGTTTGTTATTCTGTTTTCTTTTTCTTTTTTTAAAGTAAGCAGATGTCAGCTGTTTAAACCCTGGCTATTCTACACTGATCAATAGGAAAGCATTTTATGCATGGCTAACAACAACACAGAAAGCCAAAGTACCAAAATTTTACCAACCACCTAATTAGAGAGCATTTTACCCTCTTTAAATGATAAGCAGATATTAGCATAGATCAAATGCCAAAAACAGAAATACAAAAAACATACATAAAAGATTTATCTTACATAAAAGATTGAGAAAATGGAACTTGCAGATCAAAACTAGGCTTTGCTACCATCCATGGGACAAGACAGAATTTATACTTTAATGACATGAAACTGTTATCATACACAACTAGGCAAATAAGAAATATCATCAGTGGGATATTGTGTGTCTGAGACTAGTATAATATCCTTAACTAACTGCACCTTAAAGAAAAAGAGAAAAAAAGTCTGAGCACATGATTAGCTGACATGGACAAAAATTACACTATTAGACATTCATTAGCTCTCCCTGTGCATGCAGCATTAATCACAGTCCTAAAATAAGAATTACTGGATATCAGAAGCAAAATTTATACTATAACCGAGTTGTGCTATTTTAAAATAGTGTTGAAAAAGTGATAAAAATCATGGGGGATTCAATAATCTATTAGGTTCTTAGTTCAGTTGTGCTACACCTGATTATGCATACCCATTATTATCTTTAACATTTATCTTGACTTACAGTACCATGGCAACATATGGCTGTTGTATTTCAAGACTCTAACTTAGCTTTTGATTTACAGTCCATCCATAAAGAGATTTTCATACTAAGAAAAATATAGCATACTTCATTAAATATACATAGACTAATATAGTTTTTCATGAAATCTATGTCATATCATCATTACATTGTTAATATCCAAATAATGTTCCTGAACAGATTTGTTTTCAATTAATGAGCTATAGTCACACACTCCAATACATGCGATAAGCCAAATATTTACACTGTATGTTATTTCGCAATCTTTTAAAAGTAATATCATTATTACCTCACAAAATAATAACAAATAATGCAATCATTTTTAAACTAATACAAAATTAACCCTTTGGGATCACTTTTCAAATAACTGTTTGACTAAAAATATGAGTGCGCATCCTCCAAATATGCACAAATTCTAAAATTCCAACAAAACCCAAATATTGTATCTCCATTACAAATCTGAAATTAAATGTACCTGAAAACTAGCTCGTCAATAAGAGGTATAGGATACATCTACCTTTTCGTGGAAGAAGACACACTTGATGTCCTCAAATCATAGTTTGATGCTGTACACTGACCAAGTGGAATACGTCACATACTACTGACCAACAGTCCAGATCAATCCATGGGACTATGCCTCAGAAGCAACTTCCGAGCAACCAACTCAATTGCCTACAGTCTGCCAGGGAATTCTAATATCAGGAAAATAATGTCAAGAGGGACAGGATACTACTATAAGAATGGATTTCTTTGATGCCTTCTGAGATTAAACCACAAAGTTCAAGATAAAGACCAGTACTTCAAGGTCGCAGCTTCACCTAGGCATGCAGAAGTAACCATAAAAGTTATTTTAAAAGAGCAAACTGATTCAATTCAGATCAGCTCTTGCTGATATAAGTCTGGTATCGTTTAAATACTGATGGTTACTGTTGGTCATGGTTAACTAAATGGTTCTTCTTCCAGTGCTGTTTATAAGGTTCATGGCTAATAATTTACCACATGGAGGGCTGGACCATGTGTCAAAAGAAAGATAAGCAGTAAACAGACTATAAGAAAAACAGGAAAGGTAAGGTAGGGACAAAGAAAACATAGATCTTTCCATCACATTCCCCTGCACACTCAGCCCAAAACTACAATTCCAAATATTAATGATTCTATGACAACTGTAATGATTTTTCTTTTTTCCTCAAAATGAGACTCAATTAATGTTCTCACTTGGTAGAACAACTTTATTTCAGACTGTTGACCAAAAGATTCATGAAACTTTGCTATCCACTTACAAAACACAGGCGGGGAGGGAGAGGGGTGAGGGGAAGGATGAAAAAGAGTTAAAGGAGAAAAGGAGAGTTAAAAAAGAGTGGAAGGAGAGTTAAAGGAGAAAGTTGTCAAGAACAAATTTTTAAAAACAAATATTCAGTCAAAGAAATTAAAAAAGCTGGAACAAGTTACAAAAAAACTTTTATGAACACTGTGACAAGACTGCATTGTAAGGGTAAAGACAAGACCAATAGCTGCAGAGGAGAAAGACAGCAAAGAAAAACTTATTTATGGACATAATTCCACAGAAAGTTATGAAAACCCTGGGCTCAAAACTTCAGTTTGGGGTAGAGCTCGAGGAATCTGTCTAACTACATGATGGTAAAGTAAGACTTCTCCCTACATGTGTGAAAGTAGGAAATGTTATTCCACATAATGCTTAGAGGCAAGAGAAATAACACTCAAAATCCACCACAAACTAGTTCCTTTTGTCCAGAACAATATGAGGAAGATTTTCAAATAACTATTTCACTAAATAGTTTATAATAATATATAGTGATAGTTTATAATAATAGGAGATACTGAAGACATGACAGCACATAGGCATGGAGGTAGAAGAAAGATTGATAAAGAAAGACTTCAGAGTTTAAGACGTGAAAAGTGAATGAAGACGAGTCAACAAGATTCTGACTACATATCCACTGAAATCAGCAGGAAGTCTGAAAGTGGTGTTCTAAACTGGTTGGCAGTCATAGTATGGATTGATTAAATAAATAAATAAATATATGAAAAGATGAAGGTGAGAAAGTGAATGTGCAGGCAGGTAGTCCCCAGAGAAGGAAAATCAGCTCTGAACAAATGCCATATTCACACAGTGCAGCAGCAGCAAACCTTTTCCTGGAAGCAAATGCAAGTTTCAGTCCAGACCAAGGTTCTCAGACAGACCCTACTGTGGTGGCAGGTGTATCCACAGGAAATAACAGGGCTGACCAATAAAGCCCTCCAACACTATTTTCCCAAGGACTGTGTGATCATGTAGTGGCCACATAGGAAGAATGTGATCCCGACAGGTATTCCAAAGGCTGCACTTCAAAATCACAGGCTTATGCAGACCACTACAACCACAGTGCTAGAGATTCCACTGGAACCAGTGGGAAAACCCTTCATCAGCAGAAGAATGAAGGTCATTAATTACAAGGCAAGCTTAGAATCTGGACTAGACAAAGTTACTGCTAGCCTCACATCACTGAAGAGCTGAGCCACCTGGTCTGACCTTGTAGCTGACCCTGCTTTGAGCAGAAAGCTAGACTACAGACCTCATGAGGTCTCTTCCAAGCTGAACTACCCTATGATCCTAAGAGTACCACTGCATGGCAGAAAATGAGCATAACTCTGCTCTCAGCAAATATGCTTGAATATAGATAGTGTTGTTTATTTTTGTTTTTCTACCAATTTACAGTATGCCGAAGCAGGCAAGAGACAATTAATAAATTATACCTTTTATGCAGGCAAAGCAAATGGAAAGCTAAGTTGTTTGCATACTTCAAACATGCATTTTGCATTTTAATAGTAACTGAATATGGTGTAAGTAAAAATTAACAAAATACTTTTCATGGACCTGATGGTATTTTGATGGTATTTGAAACACTTCACACTCAAACACAAATACTAGAAATAATGAAAGTCAAAATTAGACCACACTGATCTGTATGCTTTGGAGCAAGATCAGCATCTTAAATTCAGCTTAAAGGCAGCTTCAACAAAGAATAGAACTGCAAGAGCCGTTCCTAAATTTTGGAATCTGACCTGGCAAAACTTCTAGTGTCTTGAAATCTCATGAAACATCTGTCTTGACCTAAAATCTTACAGGCCTTCTGGAGCCATCTGTTCACAGAAGAACTACATTTTTAAGAGCCTGTTGTAAGAAGACAGTAGGGAACTTGCTAACCAGGGAATGTTTTCATTAGGAAGGAAAAAAAAAAACAACGTCTTTTTCAAAAATGTAAGTATTTTCATAGGAACACACATCACAGTTCCAAAAGTAGCTTTACCAGGTCATTCCTGATTAAAAGCAGAGAGACCCTGCCATTGCCAACAGTTCCCAGCAAATGCTGGGAGCCTTTGCTTGCATTCAGGGAGACAGAGGTTCACAACCCGCTTAAGACAGATGGGGACTTTAATCTGCTTCCCACATACATCCCAGACATAGGCCCTAAGCATTGAACTTTTCTTGCTGGGGCAAATAAAGCCTCCCCAGCCCCCAGTCTTTTCAGGAGAGAAAAATAAAATCTTGCCATAATGTTGTCCTAGCTTGGAACTGAAACAATTTTTGAAACTGAAAAACCATTTGTAGGTGGGGAAAACCATTTCACACCTGACTCCAAAAATAGAGTTTAAGCTGCAATATGTGTCCACAGACAGTCAATGACAGAAAATCATAACTGCTAAATTTTGCCAACACAAGCATGTGAGTCTAATTCAGAGCTTCTTGAACAGTAAACACCAGATGTTGATAAGAACAGGTCCGTCTATCGTTGCATCCCATCTCCAACAATACCTTGTTGCAAAAGCATGCTTGTAGAAGAAACATACTATGCACGGAGTCATCTTTCTTCAGTATAACTCCTCTACTTTCAGTAATCATTTTAGAGACTTCCTGCATTATAGAGGAAGGTAAATCCCCCAAACTGGCTGTAGCTGGGCAGGGAAAGAACATTTTTGGGGGGTTGTTTTTTGTTGGGTTTGGGTTTTTTTGTTGTTTGTGGGGGGTTTAGGGTGGGCTTTTTGGGAGAAGCAGGGGTGTGGTTTTTTGTTGTTTTTTTTTGGGGGGTGGTTTGTTTGGTTGGGTATTTGTTTCCTGTGCAGGTAGTTGGTTCGTTGTTTTTAACTGATTACACCTAGTGACATGTCTATGTCCTGATGCTTGTGGATCGGTAGCACTCACAATTTCAACCTGATTTCTGAAAATGCTGATCTTATTGCTGGCATAAATTGAAATGAGACATGCACCCATTCACCATCAGTGAACAAATAATTCATAACCATGGAACTGAAATTTGTGCAGGGAGTTTGTTGTCTTCAACACCCCCACATCACCTCCTTTGCAGACAAGGCCATCACAAATGAACTGGATCACCCTAAAGATCAGCCAGCATTCATGCAGTGAATAGCATGAAGGGCAATTGAAGTGAGTCAATATTGATTTATTGACATAACAAAACTACAGAAACGTTTATGTTAAGAGTAACATAGAGACACACACTACACACATTTATACAAATGATCATTTTCAAATGACACTTAAACAAACGTCTTTCAGATGGAAACAACAATTCTTTTCCACTAGGAGTGAGATTCAGACCCAGTGACCAAAAGATAAAAGGCCTTTACCGCAGAAGTGCCCCAAGCATGAATTCGTTCCCCAGAAAAAGCAGTCTGTCAGCAGGAAGGTGCCGACAACTTTGGAGTCAGTCCCAGTAAGTAAACTCTCTTTCTAAGTGGGAAGGGGAAATCCCCAATGCCTTCCACAGTCCAACATTCCATATCAATTGAATAAAAGAGAAAAAAATAACTTCCAAATTCAGTCTATGTATATTTTAGAGCCAAAACCAAACATAACTGCATGAGTTACTTATGATCCTAGATTAATATTAAACAATTCTAATTACCCTTTCCAGCCAGAAGTTTCTTCCTTAGTTATTTGACTCACAGCTCTAAACTTTTACTTGAACTATAAATAGCTGGTAAAAGAATTATCAACCTTATGGATCAGCTTTTAAATAGGAACACAACACTGCCAGTGAGTTATACAACTGCTTGTGAGACAGCAGTGAACTTCTCAGTATCAGATTCCTAGGATCTATTCCTGACCCTCAGAGATGAAGAGTGTGGTCTACTGGCTAGTGATAACATAGAAAGTGCAACGAATTTGGCACATTTATGCTGCAGGCACTCCTGTAAGCTAAATGAAACTTGGTTCTTCTTAGGCTTCTCGATGTTACTATGTTTATAAAATAAGAACTAATGTTAAGAGTAAGAAACTCTGTTCTACAGTAACAGTTACACAATACATAAAGGTTCTGAAATTTCTTCATGGAAGAGAATAAAGCCAAGCATCATTTACCGACCAGAGGCCCAATGCATCTCTTCTCAGAGCACCTCTCATAACCAGGCACTGCTGGTGTCAGATACGACAGTTCTTCACAAAAGATACAGCACGGGTGGATTGGTATAGTTAAAGTACATTTCTGTTCCAAATTTAGAATTTTGTAACAGTAAAGCATCTTGTTCTATTTATGAACATTACAATAATGCAATTTATTATGTCTCACATATCATTAAGCTGAAAGATAACACATGTGAAACCTGTTACCTGAATTGTGTCGGGCAATATACCCAAGTGCCCAAGATGCAGCTTCTTTGACTCCAGGGTCAAAATCTTCCAAGCAAATCACAAGCATTTCCAATGCTCCACACTGAACTACTGACTGAGCTAGCTGTGGAGAATGTTTACCAACTGCTCTTAGCACAAAGGCAGCTGCTTTCTTGTAGAAACGCTATACAAATCAGAAAAAAAGAAAAAATAAAAGCTCTCACTAAGTAGTTCAAAGCATAATACAGTACAGACATGCATAAATTAGACTTTTTAGTAGTAGCAATATCTCATACAGATCCAAATCAGGACCACCAGACATCACACAAACAATGAACTTACAGTCCTTCTCTGAGACAGTTTATGATCTAAAATCTGCAGTAAGTGCATAAACAAACAGAAAAAATGAGAGGGCTAAGAGGATATGGGGAAAAGATAATAGTCTAGATAAGTCTGTTTGTTTAAGTCAGTAGTGAATGATAAAAGCTGCAAAAACAATAGCTCTTAATATATTTAACCAGATTACACAGGTTATGCGGGGCAAGCTTCTAAAATAATTCTACCCATCTGTGACACTTGCAAGGTTTCACAATTTCTAATATACCCTCACAACATCTCTGTGAGAAAACTTTGTTTACCTGTACAAACAGAAAACTGAGACACAAAGGATTAGATCCAGCAAAAGGGTTTAGCATCTGAATTCTGAAGTGCCTAAATACTGCCTAAGCCCACAGCTAAGACCCTGAAAAGCCATCCTACCAAACACCCAACATCAGATGGCCCTCAGTTTTGACCAGACTCCTGCACATGCCCAGAAACGGCTCTCTTTCAACAGGACTAAGCACCTTGGCACCTCTGTTGTAAGTTCAAGCAAAATCCAAGCACTTAACTCACTTCTATCTATCTCCCTCAGCATTGGACCAAATATGTTTTGAGCATATAGGTAACCATGCTATGTGTACCATGCTGCACACATCATGGGGTTCCACATAGTTTCTACTAAAAGCACAGTTAAAAGTCTTTCCTCCAAAATCACATTTTGGTCTTCTCCTGCAGTTTTGTAACTATCACTGGGATGTAGAAACTGAAGATTAAAATTATTCCCATCTTAGTTTCAAAATCCAGAGCCCAGCTAAAAGTTTTCTGGCCAGAAACAACCATGCTGTGAAACAGCTCACCTACCTCATGAAGCCACTGCACAGCAATGAGTGCAAGATTGTGCCACAAGTAATCTGCTGCTATGCCTATGTGCTGGGAGCATGCCCTCCAGCCTGGCAATTGACAGATCACCCCTGTGGACAGGCTGCAGAGGGCTCTCTCTCTCTCTGTACCAGCTGGCTTTAATCTTATTCCAAGGTGTTCAATTCTCCCCAGCTCTGCACAGGGAGCCTGGGCACTTGACAGGGCTAGATTCCTATTGATAAAGTACCCAAAAAGGTGAACAATGCAAAACCCACATCCCTTTTGGAACAAGTCCAGAGAAACAAAGAATCATGTGAGTGCTTTTGTGTTTCTTGTAAGGTGCCCGAATACCTTCAAAAGACTAAAATCTAAAGCACTAAGGTATGGTAATAGAAGAATATCTGCAGTGGCTCCACAGGAAGTAAAATGGACCCAGGCCCACTCCCTGGCCCTGAAGGAAGGTAACACAACATACCACACCCATTCTTCTAAATTCTTCTCTCAAAGCACAATGGCCTCATCTACACTACTGGAGATGTGCTATCCCCCTAAACCACTTCCAGGCTTTGTTGAGTAGTTTGATGGTTGGTGTTGGCTAAAAGTTCATCAGAGAGCACGTTAACGATCTAAAGAGCCCTGTCACCTTCCAGTGCTCAGACACATGCCCCAACCCTCCTTAGTTTATGAGTACTGATATAAATGCTCAAAGCCAAAAATCCAGTCTTCTAAGCTAAGGCCTACAAGCAAGTACCTTAAACACCATGTACAAGTAAACCATTAAATTTCATTTAGGGGAAGCAGAAGTTAAGGGAAATAGTAAAGATACATTAGCTGAGGATTTGACTATTTAAGGTACTGTAAGTTTTGATGAACTCAGTTGTCCTATAGTTGTTAACACCAGTCTATGTCTGCAAATATGGATATGTTATTTCTGTTAAGTAATTATGCTCCTGGCAAAGTAAAACACATCTTTTGTTTTTGTTATTTAAAACACATTTATTTACAAACAAACCATACTCACAGGCACGGACACTGTAAAACTGTATTTTGCTCAGTTTAATTGACAAAACATTGATCTGGGATGTAACCCTGTAACTGTTCTCCCTAAATCAACAGAATCAGTATTTATAGTATCCTCAAAGAATCTGCTCCTTAAATGTAGATGTTGATAGACGAAGAGTGAATGTAATGAAAACAGGGTTTTTTGCTATGGGAAGTAACAAACTGCATGCATTGCTAAACTCTGTATGAACTGGATAATGAGTTTCCTTCACTTGCCCTCAGTCACCAAGGCATAGTAGGCTTTCCATGACCTAACACTAATCTTGCTGCTGCCCCAAGTGATTCTGAATTACAGTCATCTTGATGCAAGGACAGCACAGGCAGTAACATAGAAGACATAAATCAGGGTACTCAAGCTAATTTAGTGAGGTCTTAGAGTTGTAGCAGGGGGGTAGTTTCCAAAACAAAGCAAGAATATAAGGAATTTTGTTCTTCACTTCAATATAGAAATAAAACAACCAAAACGGTTATAAAGTTGTCTAACTAAAACTTTAACTTTCCATACTATACCAGTATCTTGACATGAAGGTTTTTCTTTAGCTTTTTTTTTAAAGATGAATTGTATAGACAATGACCTATATGCACAGAAAAATATGCAAAGAGTACTTATGTTTTCTTCAAAAGATTAAAGATGAAAACATACAGTTTTCCAAATTATATTTCAACTGAAATCCTACTTCTCCTAAATCTAATAAATCAAAACTGCAACTTAAGTATGGCTGTGGTATTAATCCACTCAGCTGTCTCTTTCTAGTTATTAGAAACCTTATTAAAAAGTATTTCTGTTAATCTAGGTTAGAAACACTAGAAAGCTGGAATATATGCAAAACCTGAAGAAAAATGGCAGGAAAGGAGAGACACCAGCAGATTTATTTGTATTGCAATTGTGACTACACTTTTTCGTGTGTTTTTGACAAATATGAAGTTGAAAAACTTTCAGAATATTTTCCTGTGTTGGTCGATTGAAATTTCTCATGCTACAAATTTCTGAAAGGCTATGTTTGGAGATATTAAATATTTAATCACAGAAATTCTGGGGTTTACATGTATTTTACAAGTGTATCATTGACAAATCCTAGTCAATTAGCACTACAACTTTCAAACTGTCTCATTTTTAAGAGGGACCTTTTATAAAGCACCACTCAACATTTTAAAAACATAAGAGTGCCATGAATGTATTTCTTATAGTGCACTAAAAGGTAAGACAATATTTTAAAGTCAAGCTTATTTGAAGTCAAAGTTAGGCACACAGTACACACTGATCTCTCAGGGTTCAAACATACATGGTGTCTGTGACTCCAGCACATGTATTGCTATATTACGATAACAGCAGATAGCTGATACAGAAAGGCTTCCCTTTCCCTGTGCATTAGTTAAATATATGTGTGTGTATATATATATATGTGTGTGTGTGTATATATAACTTAAGAAAACAATAATGCCTTACATTCTGCTCAGACAACGAACACAGGAGCTGTGGAAGAATGTCTCCCTTCACAACTGCCTCTGCCAGGGCATCGTTATAATTGGCAAGTCTCCCAAGAGCCAAAGCAGCAGTCTGTTGAATATTTGGGATGACATCCAGCAAAAGAGGTCTCAGCAAAGTCATTACACCTGAGTTATACCAAGAAGAGAAAAGCTCATTTGATAAGCAGACATTTTTCTAAACATTTGCCTTTATCCATAAAAACCTATTGAATTACTCTTCCAGGTAATAAGAACTTGAAGGAAATCCAGGTGTTCCACTGAAATGAAGTTGGCACTTGGATAGCACTGCTGATGCATAGCAATGTTTCTGCCCATTTTTCATAGGTACAAAACACTTCTGAAATATAAAAAAAAAATCACATGTAGAAATAAGCTACATTCAAACATCTACAAAATACAGATCTGAAAGTATATGCAAGAAAATAAGGTATATTCAAACATACATAAAATGCATGTGTTGAAGTATGCACAGGAAACTCCACCTGGAGGTCCTGGTGAGCTGACATTGGCATGTTGCTCATTCAGCATGCCAGCAGAACCTCTATGTTAAATTACACCAAATTATATTTCATCTATTATAAATCTTATTATTGTTATTATTAGACTGATTTATTTGGGGACCAATATCCATAATATATTACACTCCAGCTGAAGATTTTATCATGTCATTGTTTATGATATGCTTTCACTATTGAGTCCACCGTGTATCAGTTAAACATGAAAGAACATGAAAGTCCATTCTCTAAGGTAGTCTTACAATACATACTTGAAATTATAGGTGGGGTGAGCAGCTGTGACATGAACCATTAGCAGTTACAGGCTAAGAAAGTCCTTACATGGATAAAAACCTGGCTAAAAATAGGAAGTGGGAGGAGTAAACTTTCCATTCTTGCAATAGGAGGGAAGAGGTCACTGTGCAGTTCTGCAGGCCTCCCTGCTGGGACATGTGCCATTTAGTATTCACCTATGATCCGGAACAGCACGAACAGTGAGGTGAGATTTTGCTGTTGACCCAAAGTTATTCAAGGTAGTATCAGTGAGGAAAACTATAAGGAACTAGAGATTGAATGACTGGATAACAAAATGGCAAGCGAAATGGAACACATACAGGAAATACAATCCTAATGTCACATATGCAGTGATGAATCCCAAACAGATCACTACCACCCAGAAGAAGATCTTAGAACAGGCAGTTTCAGAGAGGTACCAGCTCATTGCTCAGAAGCAGAGAAGAAACTTTACCTACAGAAGTATCCAGAGTACTCAGGATTACTTGGAAAAGAAAAAATGCCAAAGCAGGGACCATCATTATGCCACTGTATAAATCTATCCTATATTTAATACCCTCCCCTGGCAGTAGAACTGAAAAAGGTTCAGTGAAAGGTAACAAGGATGATCAAAGATAAACGGTCTGTATGTAGAAGCTTTTCCTACAGTTAAACTAAGCCCCTTCAATAAGAATATAACTGAGATACACCCAGTTACATAAAAACCATGATTTATAAGGTCTGGGAAGTGTATTACGATTCTTAAAAAGTGCTGTCCCTGTATCAGCTGCATGAATTAATACTTCTGAGCTTTATACCTCAGCCAGAAAGCAATGCTCTCTGAAGATGCAGAAGTGGTACAACAAAACACCAAACACTCAGAGCCACAGTCAGAAATCTCCATCTCAGTTCTTTCTACTACATTTGTTTGCTAACAAAAATAAAGATTTCGCAGGGTAACTGTGGAAGAAAGTAACACTTCCTTTCTCAAAGCCTCACATGGTTCTGAGCACTGAACAAAGTATTTTGGTACGACAGTCTCGCAACAGTGGCATCACCGCCTGATGGCAAGTAGCACCCAAGTGTTGAACAGGGATACACCACGACCAGGGAAGCTAAGTGCCTTAGAGCAAGGAATAGTCCAAAGGGATGGAGGCTGTAACAAGTCACACCAGTAACACACTTCTGCGTAGAAAGACACTGAACTGAAAAAGGTAAGCTGAGCAGCAGTGTAATTCTCACAGAGAACATTTAATTTACGTTAGAAACAAACTGCTTCCAGCAAGAAGAAAATAGCCTAATAATCTATACATGGCTCCAAAAGGGTGGCGGGGGGCAAAAGTAACCATGGAGGCCATGCCGACCACTAATGAATTTGTTCTGGGAAGGTCAATACTCCAGACAGAAGCTGCGCTGCCATGAGAGGTATGACCACGCTGGATGTTCACAGTTCAAAATAACACAGACCTCAGGGGGGCATGCAGTAAAAGGAGAAAAGCAAAATGAAACTGTGATTTCTAATAGCATTACAGAAACACCAAAAGTGGCTCTGTAACATGCATTAATTGAGCATGTACATGTAGAACCTATGGAAATAGGTCTGTAGTGTAGCTGGCACCTGCTCGCACTTCTGTCAAAGCCACTGGGAGCTGAAAAAGGCCTCCTATGTACCAAGACAAAAGCTTGATCCTCCAGTATTGTAACGATCAATGTGAATTCATTTTGCACTTTGCAGAAATCACTACTCCAGAATGTGGTCATCATACTGATATCTTCTCACAAGCCCTCCCACATAGCAGGTATGATCTCATTAGCAGGTTATGTTTCATATCAAAATGCACCAAGTACTTTATATGACAAATTAAAAAAAAATATGTGAGGTGGGGCCAACCCCACATATCACTTATAGTGAGCTATTGTCCAGCAAGTCACCTGAACCCTGTATGGGAGGGCATTCTTGTCCTTCCCTCTAACATCAGTTGCATGGTCAATCAACTCCTGAAATTCCTAAGGAGACCTCATGCTGTTCTGATGCTATTTACACTGAAGGTATTTTAGCAGAGCAGAAACAGAACTAGTACACTTGTATTTAGTGTACAGACAATACAAACCCAAGATTATTTAATAAATAAAAAAGGGGGTGAGGAGGTAAAAAATTAGTTTTACTGCTATAAAAAAGACTGTTAGAAGTGGTTGGGAGAGAGCAATAAAAGCACTTTAGCATACAGGGCCCTAACCCTAGAAAAGCCAACAGGCTGATGGGTGAGACATTCAACTACAATGTAGCAGACGTTTGAGTTCTGGTGGTGGTCTCAAACTGCAGTGACATTTAAATAGACTAGAATCACTTTACCCGGGAGGAACCCATGAGCTAGATCCAGACCACATGACAAGTTTCTGGCCTGCATGACATACCTAGACACCGCAAAAATGTAAAACCACATTTAAGAAAACTTACACACACATATGTTTTGACTTGTGCTAAATACAAGATTTATATAATACGCGTTTTCAAGATTAGCTGATACAGATTTCACTTTTAGAATAAGCTAAAAAGCCTTGAGCCTGAAAATGCTTCTAAGCAGCAAGCCTCCCCATGACCAATACCACTCATTTCATGGTAATACAAACCATGCAGAGCTTAGTGATGGCATTTAAGTGCCAGCACAAAACATTCTATTGCTAATTATTTTAGCTGATGAAACTGAAGGTGAGGAAAGAGATGAAAAATGAAATGGTAGTTACTGTTTGAAGAAAAGACACAAGATGGTAAAAACAGGGCTCAAAAAAAAACCCTAACCAGTAAATGGATGGAAAAGGTTCAGAAATAATAGAAACTGTGCAGATCCTTAAAGAGACTATATTTTCTTAAAGTGATGCCTGAATGTGAGAAAACACGGCAAATAAATAGTTATGATGACAACAGCTTTGGAGTAACAAAAAAAAAAAAAAACAAACAAAAAAACAAAACCAAAACTCAATTCCTGTTATTATACAAGCCTCATAGAGACATCAAATTAACCAAGAATTGAGAGATGTGTATAGGCCTAGATTACGCTTGTGCATTGAATATAATTAAAAGCTTCTACCTCTGCTTCCCACCTTCCCTAAAACCAGTTTCTTTCTCTGCATCAAGATGCTATCAATTATGTGACTCCTCTGCAAGACCCACTGCCTGAGTTTTCACCATTATGATTTTTACATCTTCAGCAAACTGAGTATTTCTTTCTTTACAGCACTTAGAAAAAATAAACAATTCTGAGAGTTGAAAACAGCTACCCTAGGGACTATGGTCTCCACTAAAACACCTATAGGAAAAACAAGATGTTCACTCTTCCTTCTGTCACTTTTGAAGATAGAGCTGGAAAGGACAGACATGCCTGACACAGGAGGAGGCTTTCCTGTCCTGGGCCCGACCCAGCTTTCTCCCAGACACAGCTGGTTTTGGTGAGCTGCTCTATTTGATCTTTTCCTTTCTTTTGACTATCCTGTCTGCAGCAAAGTCTAACCCCCTTTTCCAAAGAAGTCCAAGCCAAGATTCCTACTGGCATTTTGAGTTAAATTCAAATACATTTAATATTGTCTTAGAGCAGGAAAATAGGTAAGAACCTTCCAACAACTTCTTTTTACTTCTACCATTCACTCAAGTGAACAGGGCCAAACAGAGCAGGGAGTAACAGTGTCCTGCTGCTGAAACCTTTAGGAGAACTCTTTGGCCTTCTTCTAAATAAGTCTGTTGTGACAGAAGTAAGAAATTCATTAACTAATTCAAAGGCAACAACACAGAAACTAAACTACAAAATAAGGCCCTTAGACCACTGGACTAGATTTGTTTTGGAAGAGTTCCCACTAGCAACTCAGAGTAAGAAAGAATTACTGCCAAATACCCTCTTGCATCACAGAAACTTGACTGACCTTGGGCAAGGAATGATTCCACTTTCCATCCTCAGTTTCCCACTCAGATTTATTTCAAAGAAAGACACACTTTAGAAGCTTAATCACCCTTAACACACACTTCTGAAGTGGAACTGCTGTGCACAGGCCTGATGCGCTTCTTTTTAGTAAGCAAGTGCTGGCTGCTGCCTATCTGGAAAAAAATCCACTCGAGGCAGTGGCAGGCTCCAACTTTTTCCATTCCAAGTTCCAGTAGCCAAACAAATAGTCACTATTCTGGAGATAGCAATCTTCATTGGTCATTTTGATTTTGGGGGGAAAACCACCTGGAAGTCACACAGAATCACTCTATCCTCCTCCTCTTACTCTTGCCAAACCCTTGTCAAACATGAATAGTCACAAGTCAGAGAAATGTCACTCTACATTTGAAATTCTCTCCATGTCTGAACCTGAAGACGACCACTC